TTCTCTTCAAGAACACCAACCTCCTTCACATTGAACTTGTTCAGCATAGCTATGCTTGAAATGGTGGACATTGGCTTCACCTCCAAGTCATCCATGACCATGTATGTCACTACTCCCTTGACATACCCTCCCTCGCTGGGTCTTGCCACGGTAGGTGCTGGAGAAACATAAGTCACCTTAGTGGACATGCCACGGTTGCAATTTAAGCAAACAGTTCCAGACACATCGGAAATATTGCGGTTACTGCAACATGAACACGTGTAGAACTTTTTAGCATTCGAGTCAACGTTATTGGTCAGCAAAGGAAGGATATTGGCACCAGAAACTGTTGCCTTTGGTTCCAGCAACATGTCCTTGTTGAAATTTGGTTGCAAGTATGTGTCATCCAGATTTTCAACACTCTCATAAAGCTTTCCCAAGCTACCAACCATGCCGTCTTTGGAGAGGAGTTTGATCACAGCCCCTACAGGCAGAGACAGGAGAGTGAAGAGAAAATCAACGACATCCTTGCTTGCTTCTGCAAACAAAACTTTGCCACGAGTTGAGTCGACCAGTAGCTTCATGCTCACACTTGTGGCGTTGGACGTTGCCATATTGATGCAATGTTTGAAGCCTAGGAGGAAGACCTGTAATTTATAGGCGTACAGAAGAGAAAACCCTATTTAATCATAAAAATATGCAACAAATCTGCTCAAAATTAAAAAATGGGAATGCGTGCATGGCATTTTCCAAACCCATATTAATTATAACTTGCCATTATCCATATTAATTATAGGCTTTTTATCACAAATGGTCCCTTAGGTTTGCAAAATTATCGCATTTCGTCCCTAACTTTTTTTTATGACACTAATGGTCCCTAAGGTTACTCTTCACACATCAAAATAGTCCTTGCCGTTAGCTTCCGTCAAATTTTCTGTTAAGTAACTGACGTGTCATATCTGTGAAGCCCACACATCAAATAGTATACATCCACGTGCCAGCGCCTCCAACCCCAAAAAAAAAAAAAAAAAAACGTACCATCTGCGTTCTCCCTCTGCCAGAACCTCCAACCCTCGCAGACCCACTCTTTGCCTCTCTCTCCCTTCTCCTCCTCCCTCCTCTCTCCCTATCTCCCTCATCTTCCTTGATCTTCCTTGGTTGTGGGTTTCATTGATTTGCAAGTTTTGGTCAAAACAAAAAAGGACCCAAGTGTACTGCAACTATGCCAAGCCCGATCTTGGTTCCAATGCTACAGAGACAAGTTATGGGTAAAAACGAGAAATTCAACAAAAATGATTAGCTTCTATTTTAAAAACTAAAGCAAATGATCTTCCTTGGTTGTGGGTTTCATTGATTTTCAAACAAAAAAGGACCCAAGTGTTTATTTCATCAAGCTATGGTAGATGCAGAAACTACATCAAGCTATGGTAGATCAGCCTGTAAAAATCAAGGAAGATGAGGGAGAGAGAGAAAGAGAAGGGAGGAAAAAGAGGGAGAGAGAGAGGCAGAGTGGGTCTGCGAGGGTGGGTGCAAGGCGCCAGCAAAGGAGGTACAGGTTTTTTTTGTTTTGTTTTTTTGGATTTTAAGTTTTAAAATATTTAAAATATAATATATTTTATTTAAAGCCACATGGATGTATACTATTGGATGTGTGGGCTCTACACACGTGCCACATTAGCTACTTAACATAAAATTTGACGGAAGCTAATGGCAGGGACCATTTTGATGTGTGAAAGGTAACCTTAGGGACCATTAGTGTCACAAAAAGACGTTAGGGACGAAATGCGATAATTTTGCAAATCTAAGGGACCATTTGTGATAAAAAGTCTTAATTATAACTTGCCATTATCTATGCAAATGTTGACCTACTTTTTAAACGTTACAATTTTGCCATTACTTACGTGACCTTTCATTTAATTTGAATTATTCAATCGTTTATTAAAAGTTGCAGAGTTTCTTTTTCTCGAACCTCGATCAAAATAATCAACTAGTTGCAGGAACAAAAAAAGGCAGTTCATTAATTGAAATCCAAATTAAAGAAATCTCCCAAAACGACATTTTGCTGAAGCAATACTAATCTTAGTTATAAGAAAAAGAAGAAGCTAGCATCCAGAACTTTGATTCCATTTCCAATGGATCATGGAAAGAATAGAAACTGTTATGCCTTCCCTTTACGCAAGAACACATCGAAAAGAACAGTGTTGGACTCCAAGGATGCCTTTAGCGGCTTCAAACCCTAAGAAATCGAAAGGACAAAAATATACAAAATTAGTGATAACCTATAATATACTTTAACTGAAGCATCAACATAGCCTAATATTTCAAATCAGAGTCAACTAATCGATTAATTGGTTTTTTTCCTTGACAAAACGGTATTCTAAACTATTTTAATGTATAGGATGATATCAAATTTGAGAAAGGGATGGACACACTGCATTGACTAACTGGCGTAATAATTGGTTAATTGATTATTAATAACAAATTTTTTGGTCTGAAATTATTAATAGAAAATTAGTAATTAAAATAGGGAAGTATATAGATGATATATATATATAAAGGAATTCAGACCTCCTCCATGCCAAGATTAACCCCTTAAGCATAGTTATACCAGAAATGGTAGACATAGGCTTCACTTACAAATTGTCCATGATCATATATGTAACAACACCCTTCACATACCCTCCCTCGCTGGACGTCGCCGTTTCAACAGTGCTACTAGGTGCTTGGGTCAGAGCAACATAATTTACTGGAGTGGAGATATATAGCATAATAATGTGTGCACAATTTATGGAAATTAAACACTAGGAATTTAAGAGACCAAAGTTCGAAGCTGAAGAATCATGTGATCAATGGAGATTAAACCCCTATTGATAGGAACTGAAGGATGATCATGATTCACATGGACCAAGAAGGCGGAGGGTTAGCAAATTAAACTACTGGTATTTATTTTTTTGAATTAATGGTTGACGTTGATGATGAAAATCACGGAAAAACAATTATTATTTGTCATTCATTTCTTTGAAACTAGGCTCTGCCTTTTCGAACTTCTTGTGTTGGTTTAATTAAGATTTTATCTGCTTTATTTTTTTTTCAGCTTCCATTTTGGGCTTCTTCCATAGTTTATTTTGACCATCAAACAAAAAACCATCGAGCTTCACTGGATTTCTTTTTTAGATTAGGTTGCAAGCATGTGTAGCTAAGATTTTCAAGGCTCTCGTAGAGCTTGCCTAAGCAACCAACCATGCCATCCTCGGAGAGGAGCCAAGTGACGGTGCCAACATGCAAAGACACCAAAGAGAAGACAAAATCAACAACTTCTTTGCTCACTTCAGCAAACAAAATTTTGTGGCTCTTAGTGTCTATTAGCTAGGAGCTTCAAGCTCACACAAACGTTGGAGGTTGCTGCCATATTGAAGACAGGGGAACTATACGGCTATATATTCCTTATATAATAATTGTAAGCCAATGTTATTTTTGTATTGCCTAATTATAAATGTTAATTGAAGCACTCAAACGTACGTTGCCTTTATTGCAGTGAAACTCAACATTGTGTATCATAGTACAGGGCATTGTGCCAATGAAACTCAACATTGGAACTTGGCCTTCATCAACATGCATCTAGAGCTTGATCTCTATTCTCTTCTCTCACCCTTTGAGGAATTTAGGGAGCTACTTAGCAGACTCTTCGGCAATGGCAATTGAAGGATATTGGCCGCAGAAATTGTTGTTTTGGGTTTGAGCAGGGTGTCCTTAAGATTGAGTGGCAAGTATGAGTTGACACTAAGACTTTCGGCACTCTGGTAAAGATTGCCTAAGCAACCAACCATACCGTGAGTTGAGAGGAGCCTAGTAACAGTTGCAACATGCAAAGACAGAAAACGGAAAAGGAACTCAACAACTTCCTTGCTTGCTTCAGCAAACAAAACTTTGTGGCTTTTAGTGTCAATCAGAAGCTTCAAACTCACGCTAGCGCTGTTGGTGGTACCCATTGAGGGGATATTAAGGACAGAGAAGAAGGAGCATGTGCTTAAGCCTTCAAAGACCTATTTTATAAGCTTCATAAAAGAAGTATCCTAAATTCAAAATTATTCAAAAATGGCAATGGTGAATGGATCATCAGTCGACCACAAAGCAACTCTGGATCATTGGTGGTCAAAATCCGAAGGACATTAGCTCCAGCAGAAAGTGTCGTAGGCCTCGTCCTTGTTAGTAGCAGGTTGTAGTACGTGTCACTGAGATTTTCAATGCTCTTGTAAAGTTTGACTAAGCTTCCACCCATGTCATCCTTGTTAGAGACGAGTTTAGTGGCAATGCCTAGAGGCAAAAGACAAGACTAAAAAGCAAATCCACAAAAGTGCTTTCCCCATTCAGCAAACAGAACTTTGTGGCCTTTTTACATGTACTTAATTTTGGTGACTGCCATTGATGCCGTCAAAAAGACTGGTCGATAATTATTTGAAAAGCCTGAAGTGAACTGATCGTGATTCGTGAATACTGGTTGATGGAAAGTATACTTAATTACCATTAATTATCTCATTAATTACCAAAACAACTAGAATTGTTGTTTTTAACTCATTAATTATCATCCTCTGTCTCAGGATTTATCTTCAATAATTACATGATTAATAGATCATTATAAGGCTGCTTTTGAAGATGAGAATTCCTTATTTCACAAATGATAATCCGTATAGACGAGAACAGCTAGCTGGGTTATATGATTTATTTCATTCATACGACTGGGATTTAGATCTTGGACAGACTAAACATGGATCTAATAGCTCAATTTAATTATAAATTGTATTGATCAAATCCATTCACGCATCCTAAACCAGACAAAACTGATTAATCAAATATTCTCCCTGATTTTGATGAGAGTGCTCAATGGACTCAAATTGTTACAACTTACAACCATTTTCACTTATCATTCCTTTTAAGTTGGGAATGCTATTGAAATCTAAGCCCGTGTACATCGTGAGAGAGAGAGAGAGAGAGAGAGAGAGAGAGAGAGAGAGAGAGAGCAATAAGAATGGAACGTTTAATATAAATTGCTTGGCCCGAAAAGGCATTCAGGAATTGGTCCTTGTATTAATGAATATACATGAAAAATCTGATTATGAGTTACCAGGGTGTTACAGCACTGTACAACCAGTTGATTAGCAACAAGGCAGTTAGAGACCAGCATCATCCTCCTCCTCCTGTACACAGCAAAGTCCAAAACACATTATGTCAGGTTTGAAGAACACAGCAAATTGAAGACTCGTCAGGGAAAATAAAGGTCAACAATCCTGATTGGAATTAATATGGACCCAGCTATTCAAAATCCTTATTTGAAAACTCTATCTTCTTTTTTTTAATTTACCTAGGAAAGATGACATCAAGGAAAATATTTTGAAGCATTTTCAAATGGAACTTTTTAGATTTACCTCAACTCTTTTTATATTACTTGGTTTCGGTTTTGATGATTTGCTAGCAGTATCAGACACTACCATCCAATCAAAATTCACTTCTAATTGGGGATTTTTAATATAAATGGAGACATTAATAGACTTTTCAAGGGGAACCTACTAAGCAAATAAGGTCTGGTTCCTTATAGCAAGTGATTCAGCAATTTCAAAGAAAAAGTGCATAAGCAAAAACATGTTTAAATGCAGGAGATGGAACAAAATCAAGTGAAATGGCCTAAGGTTAGTTAGTATTTCAGTACTAGGAAGGTTGATTCACTAGTGACCTGCCACATGATTGTGAAAACAGTGTAATCCTAATTCCACGCCAACCAAAAGCTCATTATCTTTCAATTTGGAACCAACTTAAGTCAGTTCCGGTACACCAAGAGGTACCCTTCCAGGATGTGGCATCTTGATAACCGGTGAATTTGTCTAAACAGAATAGCCATCTAGAGTTACTATCCCACTCGCAGTTCCTAAAAATAGTGCATTAGCATGTCATATATATGGAGGAAATTAGTTCAACAATGGTTACCATCAACTTCATTACCTCTATGGTTTTTGCCACTGGAGTTTATCCTGATGCCTGAAAATGTTGGACTGCAAATTAAGCCATGTGAAGAAACAGAAAATTGATTTGAGCAACAATCACAGAAACCTTACAGCAATCACAAGTCAAATCTCAACAATCACAAGTCAAAACTCAACAATCACAAGTCAAATCCCTTGAGATGCAAAATAGTAAGAATGGATATAGAAGATAGTAACAGAAACCTTACAGCAAACAGACTAAATTTACAAGAAAAACCCATATTCGGATCAGCAATGCCTCTTGCTGCTTCCACATACTGAAATGCATCATCAAAACTCTGTCCTTCTCTCCACATAAGATACGCAATCACCAATGAGGTGGACCGAGATACCCCTTGACAACAATGAACAAAAACTCTTCCACCTTGTTCCCTAACATCTTCAAAGTAATCAAAAACATCCTCGGTCGGACTATCCTGCAACCATAGAGTTCTATACACAAAACCCTGAACCCTAGGCGGCTCTAGGCGGCCCTAGGGGGTTCTAGGCGGCCTAGGCGGCCCTAGGCGGCTCTAGGCGGACCTAGGCGGTTCCAGGCGGCCTAGGCGGCCCTAGACGGCTCTAGGCGGTTCTTGGCTGCCTAGGCGGCTCTAGGAGGGTCTAGGCGGCCCTAGGCGGCTCTAGGCGCCCTAGGCAGCTCTAGGAGGGTCTGGGCGAGCGACTTGCCGTTGAGGCGCGGATGAAGGGCTGTTGAAGCACGCAGGATCCGCTGCTTGTTAGGAAGAAAGACGGAGCGAGAGAGAGAGAGAGAGAGAGAGATCGAGATAGAGAGAGGAAGAAGAAGATATCTGACCTAATTTTTATATTTGAAATGTATAGCCGACCGGCTATACTATTAATTTGAAAAAAAATGAAAAAAAACACGGAGTATAAAGGCGCGGCCACACTATTTTTATATATTATATCTAAACCGTATAGCCCATTAGCTATACTATAAATTGGAATATATAATTTTTTAAAAACGGATTATCGCCGACCGGCTATACTATTAATTTCAGGCAAAAAATTTAAAAAATGGAGTATAATCGCTCGGCTATACTCTTTTAATATGGGTTAGCATAAAGGGGGCGAATGCCATGGATATTGTGAAAAAAAAAAAAAGTAATGTGGGTGGTGGTGGTGGTAATTTCAGCCCTCTGTAGTTGGTATAGATATGCAATTATGAACATCAATTAATTTGATGTTGCTCGAGAATTGCCGTTCTCAAGTGATGACATCATTGCTTTTTTAAGTGAAAAGACACCATTGCTTTTTTAAGAGAGAAGAAGAAAGCAAAAGAATATGATATCTTTGTATTAGTTTGAAGTCCAATACGTACCCAATCCAATTCATTCAGCCAATTAATATTGTAAAACAAAGGATACATCATCCATATTCAAAAACAAACATTCCAAATGAAGCTTCAAAATGTCAACTTGAAATGCTGCTTAAAGAAACACATTCGTCAGAACTGCATTTGACTGCAACAATGCCTTTCAACAATTTCAAACCCAAACAAGGAAATTAAACAAAAATGCTCTTCATCATAAATTCTTATAGAATATCAAGTGCAATATTTGAATATATAGAATGGTAATTTATCACGTTAGAAAAAATTATTAATAAACACAAACCTTATCCTTATCGAGAGGAACCACAGTCTCTTCAAGTGTATGAACATCCCTAACATCGAAGTTTTTAAGTAGAGCAATACTTGAAATGGCAGACATAGGCTTCACTTCCATTTCATCCGTTATCATGTAAGTCACAGCCTCTCTCACAAACCCACCTCCCTTGCCGCCTGCTGCAATTGTCGGCCGAGCAATATAAGTCTTGGGTTTAGAAATGAAGTTATGGCACTTTGGACAAATGGCCTTAGGGTCTTCGAACACATAGCATATCTTGCCGCCAGAGTAGGAGTAACTTGACGGCTGACATGACCGACACGTGTACAATGGTTTACTGTTTGATTCACCGTCGGTCAATGCAGGAAGGAGTTAATGGGTGCCACCAATTGGCATTGGCAGCTTCTTAGGTTTTAGAAGAACATCCTTGTTGAGGTTGGGTTGTGAGTATGTGTCGTTTAGGTTTTCTAAGCTGCCGTAGAGTTTGCCTAAACAATCGACCATGCGTTTCCTAGAGAGAAGCCTGATCATAGTGACGACGGGTAGAGGCAGAAGGGTGAAGAGAAAGTCAGCAAAAGTCCTTGCCAGCTTCGGCGAAGAGAACTTTTTTATGCTTTCTGTCGATGAGGAGCTTCAAACTAACTAGCAGAGATTGATTTGGTTTTGGGCTTGGGGTATATGCGTGCAGGCGGTAGCAAATTAATCAAAATTAAGCAAACAGTTTCTTAATTGAAACAGACAGAAGAAAAGATTGATCGTTTGAGAAGAAACAAAAAGGAGAATAAGAAGAAGAAGAAGAAAAAGAAAAGATTGAAATCCGAAATAGTCATTACATATCCTTAAATCTCAAATAATGTAAGCTCCAAAATGACATCATAAAGAAATATGAATCTGAGTTCATAATGCAGAAAAGTTTTATGCCTTCCTTTTACCCAGGAACACTTTTGTAAGAACTGCACTAGTCTCCAACGATGCCTTCAGCAGCTTCAAACCCTAAATCCTGAACCCTAAGCAACATGACTCAAAAGCATGTAGAAATGTGGGAAAGAAGTTAGGAATAATTCAAACCTCTTCCATGCCAAGATTAAGCACTTTCTCTTCAGCAAACAAAATTTTGTGGCTCTTAGTGTCTATTAGGAGCTTCAAGCTCACACAAATGTTGGAGGTTGCTGCCATATTGAACTAGTGATGAGGAAGACAGGGGAACTATACGGCTATATATTCCTTATATAATAATTCACTATGCCAATATTGCAAAAACACGTCACTTAAAAGACGTCAGAAGAAAGCATCGTGGTTTTAAAATTGGCTACAAACCACGTCAGTGGCTATAAAAGCGACGTCTTAAGGCATCTAATAAGTTGGTAATCCAAAACATATTTCAAAAACACGTCAGTTGTCAAGAAGAACCGACGTGCATCCAAAACACGCTAAACACTGTTTCACTTAAGCGTTGTTCCTCTCAGCTTTACCAAAAACTAAAGTTGTCCTTCTCAACTTAATTTTTCACACCCCGCTCAATGTTCTAAGTTTCCCTCTCCATGAAAATTCCATTCCCTCTCGATGAAGCCCTCTCTCCATATCTGAGTTCAAACCCCCTCTCTCTCTCTCCTTCTCTATCACATCTCTGCACCTAAACCCTCTCTCTCCAGCTCAATCTTTTCTAAGCCGACTCTCACATCTCAGAGAGACAGAGGCAACGAGGAGGTGGACTTCGGTGTCGGCTTCGTCACGAGGATCGACGTCGGCGCCGTCTTCTGGATCGTCGTCGGCGCCATCTTCTGGATAGTCGTCTTCTGGGTCACGGTCTTCGCGGTCCTAGCCTTTTAGAGAAGAAGATCGCCAAAGAGGTTTCATTTCATTTTCCTCGACTCTCCGACCCCGACCCCAACCCCAACTCCAAATCCTCTCTTCGATCTCGGACCTCAAGGTAAGGCTCTCTCTTTCTCTCTGTGCTACCACTCGTATGTTTTAAAGATTTTTGTGATTCTAATATTATAGAGAGATTTTAGAGATTTCAGTTATATTGCTCTTTGAGTTTTGAGTGATAGTTTAGTTTCTGTAAGATTCCCTTACTATTTTAATGAATTCACTGGTGACTATTTAACCCATATATTTTGTTTGTATTGTTTTTTGTTCTTCTGTATAAGATCCATATCTCTTGTTTGGGAGTCTGCAGGATCTTGTGGACTTGCTGGAATTGAATGTGCCTCTCATATATAATGTATGTTTATGTTTTGACTTTTATTTAAACCACAATCCATGAGTGGTTTAAATTTAATTCACTTGTAAGGATGATACTGCAGTTGTTCTCAAGTCAAGGCTGAGGCATCTGTTTTATTTTTGGTGGACCGCATATTCAACATTTCTTGACACTTGAATTTCTATGACTGTCCACCCTTGCCATTTCATTTCTTAACTTCATGTTTTGTAATGATTTTCCTCAGGTAATTTCTAAACTACAATACCTTGACCTTTGGGGGAGTAAAATATCTGACCAAGGTACAATTCCTTGACCTTTGTTGTTAAAGTAAGCATCTGGGTTCAATATTTTGTTTTGAATGAGGCTTATGTTTTGTTTGGTTTAATTTGATAATTGCTAGGTTATATATATATTTTTGGTTCTATTTGAGTGGGTTAAAATTGGTTCTAATGCAGAGCAAATCCTCTGTTTTATTACTTTTCAGTTTTATCTCTCCTCTCATTTTATTTTGTGCTTGCTCATTTCAGTTCTAGCCTTAATCACCCAGGCTATATCTTCTAAACTTCGTTTTCTTTTCTCACATGGTTATCAAGTTTGGCTTAATCACCCAGGCTGTTTGTTCTGACAGATAAGTTTGCATTAATTTTATGGTGTTATCCAATTACAGGTAGTTGCTGGATTAGCAGCAGATGGAAGGCAAATTGTTGGCAGGACCAAGTCTGAAGCTAACTATGAAAGCCTACATGATAGTGTATACATCATTAACTTTCTCTTTGAATCTCTCTCTCAGTAAAGCAGGTAGTAGTGGATTAGTCCTCAAGCTGCTGTCATTCTAAAGCTGCATAGATCTTATTTCGACACCACCAACTTGAAAAATGTGCAAGAAGGCAGAGCTAAGTCAACCCAATAACAAATTGATGAAGTCAAGATCAAATTAGTAGAATTTGTGAGCTCAATTATATCTAATTATAGGTAGGAAGTATGTAATAGAATAAAGATTGGTTGACTATGTAATAACTATTGAATCTTCAAGTTTTATGAAAGAAATAATTTTTGAGTGTATATGTTCGTTAATAAAGCAATATAATTGGTTTTCTAGTTAAAATCGTTGTATAGAATGATAGGAAAACAAAAACTAAAATGTAATAGCTTAGGAACTTATTAGACGACATATTTAAAAATAATAAAACGATGGTTTTATTGAAAAAATTGTCGTTGTACATATAATTAATGACCGTTTTTAACACTATACCGCCGTCTTTATATACAATCAACGATGGTTTTATTGTAAAAACCATCGTCTTTACATACAATCAACGATGATTTTTAACAAAAAACCGTCGTCTTTACATAAATTTTTTAACAAAAAACCGTCATCTTTCTATACAATTAAAGACGGTTTTAAATAAAAACCGTCATCTTTACATATAATAGACGACGGTTCTTTAAAAAAACCGTCGTCTTTACATATAATAGATGACAGTTCTTTCAAAAAAACCGCCGTCTTTACATATAAGAGACAACGGTTGTGAGTAAAAGCGTCATCTTTACAAATAATAGACGATGGGGATTTACCGTCGTGGTTTTATGCATCAAAAGATGTCGGTCAATTTCACGATGGTTGCAAAAACCAGATACACGACGGTGGATTACCATTGTCTATTGCGATTTTTGTAGTAGTGATTGTATGCCAACGTTCTTTTTGTATTGCCTAATTATAGATGTTAATTGAAGCACTCAAACGTACGTTGCCTTTATTGCATTGTGCCTATGAAACTCAACATTGGAACTTGGTCTTCTTCAACATGCATCTAGAGCTTGATCTCTATTCTCCTCTCACCCTTTGAGGAATTTAAGGAGCCACTTAGCAGACTCTTTGGGAATGCGTGTGAGATTGTTTTTGCAATCGATGTAGTAAAGCCTGAATCTTAAGGTATAGCCATCACCCCATTCATAGTCATCAAACAGAGCCCAGTGGAAATATCCTTTCAAGTTCACTCCATTCTTCATTGCCCTGTTCATCCAGTACAAATGCCTCAGATTATTTTCAATTCTATGTGGATCCTTCAATGCAGGATCAAGTCCACGTTTATTATCCTTTGGCTCATTAATTCCATTTTCAGTGATGTAGATTATCGGATTCCAATAATTTTTATTCATGAACTCCAACAGTTTCTTCACACCTTGTGGATAAATAATGTGGAGGATCGAGTTTCCTTCAGCCCGAGGACCGATAGGATTTCCGTTTTTGTTTTTGGTCAGCGTTGAAGCTAAAGGATCATTGCGGTAGCAGAAGCTCTGAGTAAGGCTCAACATACTGTCCTACAAGACTAATTCCAATTTGTCCACCTTGTTTCTCTTGAAACTTCTCTCTGTAAAGCTCAACAACAGTGGCATGGGCTAGGAGAAGGTTATGGCTCCCAATGTAAGGTTCAGTGGTTGAATTGCCAGCGCTATGCATGGAAACCCTGCTGAAATAGAACACCTTCCTGGCGCAGCAATTCCATAGTCATATCCAAATTTGGCAATGATCAACTGCTCGTTGATGTGATCCAATTTTTGACCCTATCTCTAAATGTTGTAAAACAAATTTCAGTGTAAGTCTTGAAATCATCCACAAAAGAACGGTTCAAAGGGCCTAAGTACTTGTCTTCCAAACCTTGTGGTAGGTCAAACTGCAATAAGGTCACATAGGGTTTTGTCCCATTCTTGACTAATTCATCAATAAGGCTGTTGTAGTGATCAATGAACCAAGTATAGCCGCGCGGCTGTACTGTTTGAATATGATATATTTATAACTATTAATTTAGGAAAAAAATTATATACAAAAAAAAAAAAAAGGAAACATGCCGGCTATACTCTTTTAATATATTATATTTAAAGAGTATAACCTGTCGGCTGTACTATTAAATTCGGAAAAAATAAAAAAGGGCGTATAGCCGCGTGGCTATACTCTTTCAATATATTATATTTACACAGTATAACGGCGCCGCTACACTATTAATTTCAAAAGCAATTTTAAAAAACACCGAGTCTAGCCGCCTGGCTATACTCGTTTAATATAAATCTACACCAACCAGGCCAAATTATTTGAGTTCAATTCTAAAATATACGCAGTAGCTGCATTTGATATGTTGTGAAATTAAAGTTAAGATGCAATCGTAGAGAAACTGCTGCACTCATATGCCCTTTGTGTCAATCAAGAGGATAGGCTTCGACAATTCATCAGTTTCTTCAGATGTTTTGAATCTGTATATATAGATGAGCTTTATTTCTTCAACCTCCCTCAATACAAAATTGGCCTCCTCATTTGTTCTGGGTCAACGATAAAGCTGAATGATTGTTTCGATGGCAGATGACTGTTTGATTCGAAATATAATGAATGAAACCAATAGAATCAGTGGACCAAAGTTTACATGATCCAAAGTAATAGAATAGAAATCCCAATCCACAAACCAAAATGAAACCCCAAAAGCTCAATGTCGCTAGAGGACCAAAGTTGAAAAGTTTGTGCTGTTTCTTTCCAAGGAAGACATTGGTAAGAGCGGTATTTGACTCCAATGATGCCTTCACCATCTTCAAACCCTACAAGAGAGAGAAATATACACGTAAGACATTTAGCTCTCTAAATAGATCAACTTGAAACCTCCTTAACTTGAAGTGCATCGATCCCCTTCATATTGAACCTTTGAAGTACTGCAACACTTGATTCGGTGGTCATTGGCTTCACTTCCAAATTATCCATTATCATGTAAATAACACCCACCCTTGATATAGCCTGCCTTAATATTGCTGGAGGTTGCTCCAGTAGGAGCAGATGGAGAAACATAAGACACCGGGGTGGAAATGTTACATGATCTGCACTGTGGACAAGGGATTCCATAGCTCTCAGAAATACGGTTACTGCACCTCACACAAATGTAGAACAATTTAGAAAGATTCTAGTCATTGTTGGTCGGCAAAGGCAATTTAAGGATATTGGCCGCAGAAATTGTTGTTTTGGGTTTGAGCAGGGTGTCCTTAAGATTGAGTGGCACGTATGAGTTGACACTAAGACTTTCGGCACTCTGGTAAAGGTTGCCTAAGCAACCAACCATACCATGAGTTGAGAGGAGCCTAGTAACAGTTGCAACATGCAAAGACAGAAAACTGAAAAGGAACTCAACAACTGCCTTCCTTGCTTCAGCAAACAGAACTTTGTGGCTTTTTGTGTCAATCAGAAGCTTTAAACTCACGCTAGCGCTGTTGGTGGTAGCGATTGAGGGTATATTAAGGACAGACCTTCAAAAAAAAAGTATCCTAAATTCAAAATTATTCAAAAATGGCAATGGTGAACGGATCAAGAAGGTGGAGGGTCACCTTGGACTCTGCATCATCAGTCGACCACAAAGCAACTCTACATTTACAAATCTGTCATTACCTATACATAGGGAATATAATCTACAGATGAGTGAATAAATATGTATTTATTTCCACTAAAAAACTGTAATCTTAAATAGGTTCGAAAAATCGGCCTAGGCGGCTCTAGGCGGCTCTAGGCGGCCCTAGGCGGCCTAGGCGGTTCTGGGCGGGCGTTTTGCCATTGAGGCGTGGACGAAGGGCGGTTGAAGCGCGCAGGATCCGCTGCTTGTTAGGAAGAAAGAGACAGAGACAGAGACAGAGACAGAGAGGAAGGAGAAGGCGACGCTGAGAAGAAGAGGATATCTGACCTAATTTTTAATATAACTAACGGGTTGGGTTTTGTAAAATGGCCTTAAACATT